GGCTAGGTGGGTGGAAATGAGGGATTGGAATACAGGTAGAAGAAAGAATGGAAGGAAGGGGAGGGGAGGGAAGGGGAGGTAAAGGAGGTAAGAGGAAAAAGAACAGAGAGGGTGTTCTGGGAGAGAGACAGAGAGACAGGGACAGAGAGAGAAAGGGAACAAGCCAAGCAGAAGCAGGGGAGAAGGAGCAGGGAGAGGCAAGATGGGAAAAAGTGAGGATGTGTTTCTGTGACCCGAATCTGCCCTGCTTTCCCCATTCCCCTCTCCACGGAGGAGACATGCTGGGCATCTCCTCCCCTGCTGCTCCCTGAGCCCGGAAGTCAGACCAGAGAGGGCTGTGCACCCAAGGGCCTCCGCTCAGCTGGAGTAGAGGCCACACAGCCAGGTCCAGCACCAACCTTGGCGGTGACTAGTCCTCACCTCTGGAAGTGGCCGCTCGGGAGGCTTCCCGGGAAAGGGCTCACCCAGTTCAGTGAGCCCTGAGGATGGCTCCCCGGCTTCTGAGCAGCAGGCGTGTGAGTTTCAATCAAGCCTGCACCTTCACCCCATTTCAACCCAGCCAACATTTCAGATGACGGTTCCCTGCCCTAGATTTTACTGCAAAATAGCAGCTCCTGCACAAAGGCAAGCTGGCCAGGAGCAGAGGGGTGGCTGTTGGTATTTGTGCCCAAGCTCTAGCAATGGGCAGTGATTCAGCACTGGCTTGCTCACCACCATCAGGATCCTTGCCATGTCTCTGTATTCCATGTACTGTTATTGAATTATTATAAAACCAGGGGCTGGGCAAGCTACTTATATTTTTCTAACTCAGAGTAAAAAAATACCTAACAATTTAACCAGTTCGGCCCTATACCACGTAATCTCCTCCTCCCAGAATAGTCCCAGTGGTGCGCACGTAGCCCTCTGGTGGAGGGGTCCATTTGCTGGGCATGTACAGTGTGCCAGGCTCTGTGCTGACTGCTTTATCTATCCTGCATCATCACTGTAACCCTGAAAGGTAGGAGCTTTTCTTCTACCTACTTAACAGGTGAAGAAACTGAGGCTAAAGGAGAGGAAGCACCTTGCCCAGGTCACAGAGCCAGGAGATGGTGGAGTCAGGACTCCAAAGCAGATCCCAGTGATTAGAAAGCACTTGTCCTAGACTCAGGACACGCATCCTGAATAGCCCGAGAGACAGCTTGACCCTTGTCCTTGACCAGCCCCTACACCTCATGGATTCTTCTCCCCGAGTGTTTTCACATGGGAGTCTGGGAACCCTGATGCAATGCAGATGCCTGCTTCCACCCTCTCCCCTAGGCTCTGCTCTCCAACTGGTAGCCAGAGGGAGCCTCTGTACCATAAGTCAGCTCATGCCGCTTTCCTGTTCAAAGCCCTCCAAAGGCTTCTTGTCGCACTGAGAATAGTCTTACGAATAGGAGCCTCGTGACCTGACCTCCCTCCCCACCATAACCCTTCCTGTTCCTTCTGCTCCAGCCGCCCTGTTCCTGAAACCAGCCAACTGTGACTATGCCTCAGGGCCTTTGCACTGCTGCTCTGTCTGGCACACTCTTAGCCCAGACACCCACATGCGTGCTCCCTCATCTCCTTCAGGTCTCGGCTCAAATGTCAGAAAAGCCTTACCTGGTTATACCAAGAAAAGTAACAGCACTGGTGATTGTTTCCTCCCTGGCTCTGCTGGTCTCTTAGCAGCACTTTAAGTCGCTTACATATTTAGTTGTTTATGGTCTATCTCCCCAACAGGAATACCAGTGTCTTGAGGGTGGGGTGTTGCTGTGTTTTGTAGCAGGGCCCCGCAAATGCTAAGTTCTCTGTAAATCGCCACTGCATGCTGGAGCTAACCTCCTTATTTACAGATGACACCACAGGCTCTGAGCAGAAAGGCATTTTCTGACTTTGCTCCCTAAACCCACCCATCTGCCCTTTGGTGCAGGCCTGGCCTTGCGCTGGACTCCTGCAGGCCGTGCGCCTCTCGCCAGTCCCACAGGGCCTCCGCGGGAAGCTGCAGGAGGCTGCCCTTTGGATTCTGACATGGACTCCCGGCACCAGCGAGCACTATGGTTTCACTTGTGTGAGTCTCAGCTTCGCCGCCGTGTAACATGGTTTCAATTCTGCTGAGGTGCCCTGAGGGCTTCTGGCACTGGGGACATTTTTGAAAAAAAAAAATGTAGAGAATAAAAACAAACTGGCTTCTCTGAGTAGCTCCAGCTGGTAATTAAGATCCTTCTCCAACTTCGACTCCCTTCAACTGCAACTTTGACCTTGGGGCTGGTGAGGAACAGCAGCGGGGGCAAAGCTGAAGAGGTGGGCTTGAAGCAAAAGCCAGGCTCTGCACCTCAGCTTCAGCCAAGACAACGAAGCACCCACTATGTGTCTGGCATTTTCACAGCTTAGGAGCTTTAAACTCATACATCTGCCTGTCAATTTGGTGTCTTCATTGGGGCGTCACACATATCTCAAACCCGGTGTCGCATGATGCAGAGGTAGATTTCCTCTGCTGCATGCCCACATACTCCCGTCTCTGAGAATGGCGCCTTGGCCCCAGTCAAGCCCAGTCAGGCGCCTCCCTTGAGCCCTCTCTCCCTCCTTCCTCTTAACCAACCCATCAGCAAGTCCCCTTGGCTTTACCACCGTCCTGAAGCCTGCATCTTTACATCTCCATTCAACCTGCTTTTCTTTTTTTGCTGGGACGACTGCAATAATCTGCTGGCCTCCCTGCCTCCACCTTCCCTCTCCCATGGCCCATTCTCCATGCAGTAGCCGGAGTCGTCTTTGTAAAACACAGGCCAGGTCACGCAGCTTTTCCTGTTTAACGCTCCTCGGCCCCATGGTTGTCCACAGCACTTTGAATGAACTCTGGTGTCTGTGACCCATGTCCGGCCCATACCTCCCTCTCCCCCTCATCTGTCTGCGTGGCCCTCTGCTTTCGCTCAGTCACCACATTCACTACTTCCCACTGTAGGGCCTGTGCACTTGCTGATCCCACCTCCCTAGATCTCCAGCTGGCCAGCTCCTATCATCATCCAGGCCTTGGCTCAAGTGCCACCATGTTTAAAGGCCTTTCGTGACCCCCTGGAGAATGTGAACCTCCCATCCTACCCCCTGCACCCCCAATCATTCCCCATCTCACTTCATTGTTTTAGATTCTTCACATCCTTCTCCTTATCATGAACATTCTCATTTATGGATTTGGGTGTTTACTGCTGGTGTAAATCCCCAGGGTGTTATTTAGGGGGAATGAGACAGAGGTGGTCCCTGTTCTCATGGAACTAACATTCTAAGGAGGGGACAGAGAAAAAATAAATCTACCCTGGACTTTTCAACTACAAGGGCCAATAATTTCCATTTCTTGCTAAAGCAATTCGGGCTTTGCTATTGACAAATCAGCGGAGTCTTTACTACCTTAGGCTCCATAAATTGCTGAGTTCATTGGCTTTTTTAATTTTTTGTTTTGTTTTCTTTTATCATAAATTCTCTCCCTCTCTCTGTCTGTCTCTCTCTCTCTCTTTTTCTCCAAGATGAGAGTCCTTGTAAAGGGAGCCTACGCATTGCTTTTGGCCAGAGACCGTCTGGGTCTCGACTCTAATGGCATTCTCCGGACTCTGAAATTCTCTTTTGTCATCAAGTTTCTACATTGCTCCTCTCCTTGAAACAGTTGTTGGACAGAGAACATCAATTCCATTTCACAGGCAGGAGGACTGAGGCCTAAAATGGCTTGCCTAGACTGGACAGAACACAGGATTGATCATTGCAGCAAGGATTCCCAACTCTGGAATTCTAGGACTGAGGACCAGACAGAAAAATCTGTATCCTCCTCTGATGATCAATATCAGTCATGCTCTGGGCTAGCCAGGATGATTTGGAATTCATAGCCTTCACAGCTCTGCCTCACAGGTTAGACCCCAAGGATTTTGCAGGTTCCAGGAAACACTATTCCTACTCAGATAAACAGAATTGTTCTTTTACATGCAGTTTCCCCTTGGGTTACCTTTATTTTGCAATCTGGTAAGCCAAAAATGTGAATATAATTTGCAAAGCCATAAGACCCCTGAGTCAGTTGAAAAACCCTTCTTTACCTCGGAGAAAGCTGCTTGCTCTTTCATTAGAGAAAAGTAATGCATTGTATCTCCCTCTTTGCTTTGGCCACCAGGAAGCTCAGACATTAGACTCTGCACTTAACTGCAGGAGTCAGCCTGAGGTGCATTTTTTCATCTACCACCTTACCCCTTATTTGTGACGTAGCCTCCTACTCCTTTGTCTTTGTTTTTATAGTTCTATTTTAATGTTTTCCATTTGAAAGTCTTCCCCAATCTTTCTGACCTAGGTTGGGTATAAACAGATGAATTAAGGTTATTTCTGAGCTGCTCTCCCCTTTTCTTTCACCCTCACCACTTGCTTAGGGGCACAGGAGCTGAGTGATTGAAGTAACCATGGTCCTGCTCACTCTCTCACTTTGTAAACCATGTTTTTTTTTTAATATGAAAAATAAATTCATATTTATTTACAGATATAATGATTCATGCATTGATAATAAAGCAGCTTTATGGTAACCTAGTGTAGTCTATACATTAGCTTATATGCCTAGCCTGTACTCTAATGAATGAATTTTTGTGTAAACCATGTTTTAAGGGGAATATGAATTGTTTTTAAAAGCTTCCATCCTGGCCTACTGCTAATTACTACTGACCCAGGAGCCTCTGTACTAATTTGCCTTAATAAACTTATTAAATAGCAAATTTCAGGAGGAAGAAACTACACAGCCTCGATTGGATTAGTGAAACTGCCAGTGGACATCACCACTAGAGCAGAAGGAAGCTGGGGGAGATAATCTGGTCAAGTGTGTTTCCAATAAACTGTCGCTGGCCACAGCTCTGTGCTTTCTTGGGGGTTGCTGGCAAAGGTTTTGAGCCTCCAAAGAAAAGAGGAAAAGCAATGTCTTTCCCCCAAACCAGACGCAGGTGATTAAACACAGCATATATGAAAGGAAACGAGCAAATCCAAACCTCCAGGTCATTGAAGAACAGATGCGTGTCTGCAAGGTTGAAGATCATTTCTTCCATCATCAGGCCGATGCGCACAGACGTCGTGGTGTCCTGATAGAAAGAAAAGGGGAAAATCACATGCACAGGGCATCGTTGTCATCTTAGCCTCGTTTTCTCTCCAATCCCATCTCTGAACGGCAGTTTGGTCTTTCCTGATCTGCTAACACCCGGCCTAAAATGTGCCCCTGTACACAGTCAGGGTGATCATGTTTGCACACTTCTGAGATTTCACTTCTAGTATTTTATAATTTATGTGTAGCCTCTTCAGTAGTTAAATGGCCCTCACAATGCCCCTGGAATTGCAACTGTGTTCAGTGTTGCAAGAACCAGAAATGACTGCACTAAAAGGGGGCCTCTTGGAAACTGTGTTTTCAGGGATACTCCAACCCTTTTTGTTCTCAAGGAGGCCTGACAGAGTTCAGGGAGAGCAGTAAAACTCATCTAAACCACTCACTGGGAGAGCTGGGATGCTGGTTCTCTCTTTACAACAACCTCTGTGTGGCTGTTCCCTTATTCCTCCTGATATTTTAAATACAACTGTTATCTAACAACAGGGAATTAATGATAAAAACAAACAAATACAGGCCCACTATGGTACATCCATACCAGGGAAAATGAGCCATTAAAAAAATGAAGTCATGTTAGAGCTACAGACGTGAAACTATCGTCAAGAAATACAGTATTAAGTAGCAAAAGCAAGTTGCGTCACAGTTTAATGTGTGAAATACAGTTGTGCAACACACGGGTCCATTCTCTCTCCCTCTCAAAAATACAGTTGTGCAACACACGGGTCCATTCTCTCTCCCTCTCTTTTCTGTGTACAGTGTGGGAGACTGCATTTCTCTTCACCCATATGTGGGGTTGCTTTGGCTTCTCCCTGTAGGAGGATGATACATACCAGGGGTTGGTAAACTATGACCCACAGGCTGAATCTGGACTGCTGCTTGATTGTTGCTTATGAGCTAAGAATGATTCTGTACATTTTTAAACAGTATATTGTCTACAGTTCCTTTTGTGCTTTGAAGGCAGAGGTCAGTGGTTGCAACAGAGACCGTATGTCCTGCAAAGCCTAAGATATTTATTATTTGGCCTTTCACAGAAAACGTCTGCAGCCCCTGATATACCCTTTTACTTATGAATTCATGCTTTGGCCAATGACATATGAGCAGAAGTTATGTTTCACTTCCAGGAAGAAGGTTTAAAAGCTAGTGTATGGTTTGCCATGCTCTCTCTTCCCACGTCACAAGACTCAGTGTTCCAGATAAAAGCTACTCGGTCAGCTTGGGTTTCAGAGTAAAGCGAATGGGGGTCAGAGCTGCAAAAGACTACAATGGTCCATAAAAGAGAAGCAGATGAGATTTGGGGGATGTTTGTTACTGCGGCCATAACCTCACTTATCCCAACTGATGCATGTGGAAAATATGTAGCACAGTGGTTCTCAACCCTGGCTTCCTACTGTAACGATCTGGGGAACATTTAGAAATCTTAATGCTCAGGCCGTACCCCAGATCAATAAAATCAGAACTGCTGAGAGTGGGGTCCAAGCATCCCCACTTGATTTCAGCATGCAGCCAAGGTTAAGAACCACACTGGTCTAAAAGCCTATCAACACTTAGTAATAATATTTCTGGTTACTATCTGGGAAGCGCTTTCTCTGTGCCACCTTATAATTATTCATTCATTTAATTCTCCCAAGGCTCTACAAGGTGAGCACTATTACTTCCCCATTTTATAGATGAGGATTGAAAGGTTAGGTAACTTGCTGGTGAGTGCGGGGGTCTGAATACAGGTGGCCTGTTCCAGAGCTGCGCTGCTTCCATGGAGGGCTTGGAGAGGCCGGAGTTGGCAGAGGAGGAAGGGGGCCTTAGACTGTCACTCCATACACTTCTTTTCCTGTTTGAATTTTTCACTGGGAGGCTGTATTACTTCTACTATAAAAATAAATAATGACATAAACCCTTCATGACCCTTTAAAAAAAAGGGGGAAAAATGTAGCTGGTGATCTCAGCTTCACACACGCAACTGTGAAGAATCAGGCCCAGGAACGCAGCCATTAGGCAAAACACCTCATTAGGATCCCAATGGCCAAAGCTTAGAAGGGCCCTGGCTAGAAGGCGGCAGGGGACTCGGTGAAAAACGAAGAGAAAATGAGGAAAACAAAGATTTCAGGGCTAAGCAGGGACTCCTTGTGTGTGACCTGGGAAAAGGTCTAGGAGGTGTTCCCAGGAATTACTCGTACCCGAACCATTTCACCTCTGCATAATTACACATTCTTTCTTGGCAAAGCTGTTTGTACATCTCATCACTGATGAGCAGCCCTCAGTGTACTGGACAAGAGGCAAGAAACCCACTGAAAGGGTTTATTTAGAAAAATGTCAACCCCCCCAGGCCAGCACAGAAACAGGAAAGGTAATTATTGCATACAAAGTGACTTATCTGTGAAAAAGCATTTGAATAGTTATAAAAAGGCAAATAGTCTATATTGATAAAGCTTAAATTATGATCTATTGATATGGGGAGGATGTGAAGAAAAGGTTTGCATATGTATGATGGGGTCCAGGGTGAGAAGAGTTAAATTCTTATCCTCCAGTTTGGGAAGCCAGAGACCATGCGAAAAACAGAAGGACATCAAGAAGTGGGAACATAAGCAGGTTCCTTAGAAGTTTGGAGGAAAGAACCAAAGGAATCAGGGCGAGTTGGAAGTCGTTGCCTCTGGGCAGGAAGAGAACAAAGGAGGTGCCCACTGGGGGCTGCTGCTTTTCATAATGCTTTGCTTTGTTGAACTGTGTAAGTTTTTCACTGTAAGCATATACATCTTGGATCTAAAAAAAACCCCAGAACAAAAGGGAACATATTCAGTAATTTTACTTTGCATTTTCTATTCTAGAGAAAAACCATCCATATGAACAAAGAACATGTAAAAAGATGTTCACCACAGAGTTGTCTGTAACTGACAAAAAATTTGGGAATGGTTTAGCTGCCTGGCCAAAGGAGACTAGAGAAATCAAATGTAGTGCATTCATACAGTGGAAAACTAAATTCAACGGCAAGAAATGAACCAGACACATCAAACAAAATATTATTGAGTGAAAACAACAGTTTTCTGGAAGTTATATACTGCATGTTATTACCATTTATTAGAAACACATACAGTGTTACTACATATTTTCCATTGGCACTTATATATTTATATATACTTATAGTATTATATATATATAAATGTATATATTTATAAATATCTCAAAGGATATATGCAGAGTCAGAACAGTAATTACTTTCAGAAGGTGGAAAGGAAAGGACAGGAATTAGAGGTGATGATCAAAAGGAACTTTAGCATTATCTAGAATACTCTAAAAAATTTTTAAAGGAGAAGGCATTCAAATACTTATTGTATAATTAAAAGTTAAAACAGAATTTTAAAGCCATCTACACGTTTCTCAGTAGAACCGTTAGAATCCCCTCTACTCCTTGGGAATTCTAGTTACTTCAATTTTCCTAAAATCTGCTTGCCTGTTGCCTACTGATTGTTTTAAACTGCGTAGATGGGACCTCTTTTCAAGGAACTTGATAAAAACTAGTTGTACAGAGGAGGAAAAGTCTGGAACAGCCCAAGAAAAGCATGACTGTCCCAGGAGTTAAGTAACACAGAGTGCTACCCTGGGCCAGACCACTTCATCCAAGGGGAAGATGTTTTCCCAGGATTGCAAGGAGTGGGAAACTAAGAGAAAAAAAAAATTGGAGGAGACAGCATTAATTAATGGGAAATACATCCGGAGGGAGGGAGGCAAGACCAAAGCCGGTGGCGTCATCTTGTGCTGTCTGCTGAACGAGTCCCTGATAAATTTCACAGACACACCACTCAGGTCTGCTGGCCTCAGTCGCCCTGCCACTTGGGCAGGGAGGACCCTCCGTCTGGCCTAGCGCATCTCCTGGTCAAATAAAACCTAAAATCTGGGAGCCTTCATGCTAGGTTCTTCAGCTAATAAAAGGCATTCAAGTCTACCCGATCCCTCTACCGCCTCGCATTGTGGTGAGGGTGGACGAGATGGCACAACGTAAACACCTCGCCGGGAGAGCAGCACGCCCTCCCCAAGCAGTGGTTACTGTCAGAACCCCCCAGTCCACTTCCTGGGACTCTTCAGCAAAGAACCTGTTTCTGTAAACCCGGCAGAAACTCCCCAAATCAGATGGTACTTCATGAAAACCATTTCCTTAATTATCACATGCTGGGTTAGGGGGAAAAAAAAAATCAGCGGTTAATTTCCTAAACAAGCAATAGCAGAAACAGATTGCTTTTAAAAAAATGATCAATTAAAACCAGAACAGGAAACTGAAAAACAAGGGAGTTCTTCCAAAACGGGCTTCAGTTTATAACTTGTCCGTGGCAGGACTGTGCTGGGGGCTGGTGGGGTTGGGCGAGTGGAATGTTATCTTTGTTTGACTTGAGAATTTGTGGGTGGTTCTCTCCCAGTGAAAGTACAAGTAAGACTAAGACCCTGCAGATTTTTTCAGTGTGTCCTAATGTTCTACAGATTTCTCGGGGTTTGGTTTGGATGACAGCGAGGCGGGCTGCGCACACATTGATTTGGGATGTTGATGAGGCGGATGGAGCACTGGAAGCCCCTTGGAGGCAGAGGCTGTGGACCTGCCTGCAGCCCCGAAACCTAGTTATTACGCATTCCTGGTGAAGTTCTCTTGATGAGAGGAGGATGGCGGGGACGTTCACCATGTGGGCTGCTCTAGGATCTGCCTCGTGGATCAGTAAATTGTCTTGTGATGTATGGTTGTATTTTTTTTTTTTTTTGTATTTTCTGGATGGAGGAGAAGAGGGTAGGAGCATAAAAATAAGTCTCCTAAAAATTAATCTGATGTCAAACCAACTTGAATGAAGAAAACAGCAAGTGGATTCTTGGAGGTTTCAAATTGTGAACACAGAAGTCATTCAGGGTTAATTAAGACGAAAATGGTTGTTTTGTATCAAGTATCTCCACCATCCCCAAATTTATAAGCTTCCCAACTAAAGCCACATTCTTCCAGTTGACTTCCCAATC